TGTGGATTTTTTGAGGGTTTTTTGAGGGTTTTTTGTGGATTTTTTGGGATTTTTTGGAGACATTTTGGGGATGTTTTGGGAGCCGTGGGCAGGACCCAGCTCCAGGCGCCAGCAACGGGACAGCGGGGCCGGATCCAGCTGCGAAAAACCAGGGAAAAACATCGGGAATGGCATCGGGAATTTGGGGATTTTGGGGGAATTTTTGGGATTTTTTTGAGATTTTATTTGGATTTTTTTGGGATTTTTTGGAGATTTTATTTGGATTTTTTTGGGGATTTTTTTGGGATTTTTTTTGGATTTTTTGAGATTTTATTTGGATTTTTCTTGGATTTTTTTGAGATTTTTTTGGGATTTTTTTTGGATTTTTTTGTGGATTTTTTGAGGGTTTTTTGGGATTTTTTTGGGATTTTTTTTGGATTTTTTTTGGATTTTTTTGAGATTTTTTTGGGATTTTTTGGGGATTTTTTTGGGATTTTTTTGAGACTTTTTGGGGATTTTTTTGGGATTTTTTTTTTTTGTGGATTTTTTGAGGATTTTTTGAGGGTTTTTTGGGGGTTTTTTTGGGATTTTTTTGGGTTTTTTTTGAGATTTTTTGGGGATTTTTTTGGGATTTTTTTGGATTTTTTTCGTGGATTTTTTGAGGTTTTTTTGAGGGTTTTTTGAGGGTTTTTTGTGCATTTTTTGAGGGTTTTTTGAGGGTTTTTTGTGGATTTTTTGGGATTTTTTGGAGACATTTTGGGGATGTTTTGGGAGCCGTGGGCAGGACCCAGCTCCAGGCGCCAGCAACGGGACAGCGGGGCCGGATCCAGCTGCAAAAAACCAGGGAAAAACATCGGGAATGGCATCGGGAATTTGGGGATTTTTGGGGAATTTTTGGGATTTTTTGGGGATTTTTTTGGGGAATTTTTGAGATTTTATTTGGATTTTTTTGAGATTTTTTTGGGATTTTTTTGGGATTTTTTTGAGATTTTTTTGGGATTTTTTTTTATTTTTTTGTGGATTTTTTGAGGGTTTTTTGGGATTTTTTTTAGATTTTTTGGGATTTTTTGGAGACATTTTGGGGATGTTTTGGGAGCCGTGGGCAGGACCCAGCTCCAGGCGCCAGCAACGGGACAGCGGGGCCGGATCCAGCTGGGAAAAACCAGGGAAAAACATTGGGAATGGCATCGGGAATTTGGGGATTTTTGGGGATTTTTTGGGGAATTTTTTTGAGATTTTATTTGGATTTTTTTGAGATTTTTTTGGGATTTTTTTGAGATTTTATTTGGATTTTTTTGGGATTTTTTTGGGGATTTTTTTGAGATTTTTGGAGATTTTATTTGGATTTTTTTTTATTTTTTTTGGATTTGTTTTGGATTTTTTGGGGAATTTTTTGTGGATTTTTTGGGAATTTTTTGAGGGTGTTTTGGGATTTTTTGGAGACATTTTGGGGATATTTTGAGGATTTTTTTTTGATTTTTGGATTTTTTTTGAGGATTTTTTGAGGGTTTTTTGAGGATTTTTTGTGGATTTTTTGAGGGTTTTTTGAGGATTTTTTGTGAATTTTTTGAGGATTTTTTCTGGTTTTTTGGGGAATTTTTTGGGGTTTTTTGAGGATTTTTTGAGGGTTTTTTGTGGATATTTCGTGGAATTTTTGAGGGTTTTTTTTGGATTTTTTTGTGGATTTTTGGAGGTTTTTTGAGGATTTTTGGGGGATTTTTTCTGGATTTTTTTGGGAATTTTTTGGGGTATTTTGTAGATTTTTCCGAGAATTCTTTGTGCATTTTTTGGGGGATTTTTTTTTATTTTTGTAGGATTTTTTTTTATTTTTTTGTGGATTTTTTGAGGATTTTTTGAGGATTTTTTGAGGATTTTTTGTGGATTTTTTGAGGATTTTTTCTGGATTTTTTGGGGAATTTTTGAGGGTTTTTTGTAGATTTTCTGAGGATTTTTTGAGGATTTCTTGAGGATTTTTTGTGGATTTTTTGAAGGTTTTTTGAGGATTTTTTGAGGATTTCTTGAGGATTTTTTTGGGTTTTTTTGAGGATTATTTTAGGATTTTTTCTGTTTTTTTGGGGAATTTTTGGGGTTTTTTGTAAATTTTTTGTGGATTTTTTGCGGATTTTTTGAGGAGTTTTTCTGGTTTTTTGGGGAATTTTTTAGGGAATTTTTTGGGGTTTTTTGAGGATTTTTTGAGGATTTTTTTGTGGATTTTTTGAGGATTTTTTGAGGATTTTTTCTGTTTTTTGGGGAATTTTTTGGGGAATTTTTGGGATTTTTTGAGGAATTTTTTGTGGATTTTCTGAGGATTTTTTGTGGATTTTTTTAGGATTTTTTCTGTTTTTTTGGGGAATTTTTGGGGAATTTTTTGGGTTTTTTTGTAGATTTTTCCGCGAATTCTTTGTGCATTTTTTTTTGAATTTTTTTGGGATTTTTTTGGGGTTGGAAATTTGGGAATTGTCACCTTGAAGAGGGCGGAGAGTTGGGATCCTCCCTGGATTTTGGGAATTTCCCAGCGGACTCCCTGGATTTTGGGAATTTCCCAGCGGATGCTCCGGGAAGGCAAATCCAGCTCGGCCGATTGCTCGGGGCTGCTCAGCTCCTGCCACAGGCTGGGGGCAGAATTCCCAAAAAACATTCCCAAAACATTCCCAGAAATAACCCAAAACATTCCCAAAAATACCCCAAAACATTCCCAGAAATACCCCAAAACATTCCCAAACATTCCCAAAAATACCCCAAAACATTCCCAAAACATTCCCAAAAAATCCCCAAAAAATCACCCAAAAATACCCCAAAACATTCCCAAAACATTCCCAAAAATACCCCAAAACATTCCTAAAAAATCCCCAAAAAATCCCCCAAAAATTCCCAAAAAACACCCCCAAAACATTCCCAAAAATACCCCAAAACATTCCCAAAAAAACCCCAAAAAATCACCCAAAAAAACCCCAAAACATTCCCAAAACATTCCCAAAAGATTCCCAGAAATACCCCAAAACATTCCCAAACATTCCCAGAACATTCCCAAACATTCCCAAAAATACCCCAAAACATTCCCAGAAATACCCCAAAACATTCCCAGAAATACCCCAAAACATTGCCAAAAAATCCCCAAAACATTCTTAAAAAAACCCCAAAAAATCACCCAAAAATACCCCAAAACATTCCCAAAAAATCCCCAAAAAATCCCCAAAATATTCCCAAAAAACCCCCAAACATTCCCAAAAAAACCCCAAAACATTCCCAAAAATACCCCAAAAAATCACCCAAAAAAACCCCAAAACATTCCCAAAACATTCCCAAACATTCCCAGAAATACCCCAAAACATTCCCAAAAATACCCCAAAACATTCCCAAAACATTCCCAAAAAATCCCCAAAAAATCCCCCCCAAAATCCCCAAAACATTCCTAAAAATCCCCCCAAAAATCCCAAAAATATTCCCAAAAAATCCCCAAAACATTCCCAAAATATTCCCCAAAAATCCCCTAAAACATTCTCAAAAAAACCCCCCAAAATTCCAAAAAACCCCCCAAAAATTCCCAAAAATCCCAAAAAAAATCCCCCAAAAATTCCCAAAAAATCCCCAAAACATTCCCAAAAAATCCCCCCCAAAAAACCCCAAACATTCCCAAGAAATCCCCAAAAAATCCCCAAACATTCCCAAAAAATCCCCAAAATATTCCCAATAAAACCCCAAAACTTTCCCAAAAAAAACCCCCAAAATTCCCAAAAATTCCCAAAAAACCCCCCAAAAATCCCAAAAAAATTCCCAAAAATTCCCAAAAAATCCCCAAAACATTCCCAAAAAATCCCTAAAAAATTCCCAAAAAACCCCCCCCAAAATTCCCAAAAAACCTCCAAAAATTCCCAAAAAACCCCCAAAAATTCCCAAAAAATCTCCCAAAAACCCCTAAAAAATCCCCAAAAAATTCCCAAAAAAACCCCCAAAAATTCCCAAAAATCCCCAAAAAATCCCCCAAAAATTCCCAAGAAAACCCAAAAAATTTCCAAAAAAAACCCCAAAAATCCCCCAAAAATTCCCAAAAATCCCCAAAAAAATCCCCCAAAAATTCCCAAAAAATTCCCAAAAAATTCCCAAAAATTCCCAAAAATTCCCCAAAAAATTCCCAAAAAATTCCCTCAAAAATTCCCCCTAAAAAATTCCCCCAAAATCCCCCAAATTCCCGAATTTCCGCACCTGGAGACGCCTTTGGGCACCGGGAGCTGCAGCCGGACGTTGATGGCGTGGCTGGAATTTGGGTTTTTTTGGGGGGAAAAACCGGGAATTTGGGAAAATCCGGGAATTTTGGGAAAACCCCGCAATTCCCGAGGCCGAAAATTCCCGGATTTTCCCCGAATTTTCCCAAATTTTCACCTTTTGGGGGGGAGGTCACAGCGGAGCTTGAGATAAATCCGGATTCTGCAACAAAAAAAAGGCAAAAATGGGGAAAAAACCCCGGGAATTTTGGGAATTTTGGGAATTCCCTCGGGGGAATTCGGGAAGGGGAAAAACCCCCCCCAAAAAAATTCCCAAAGTTTGGGAAATTCCCAAAAATCCCGCTTGGAAATGAGGGAAAAACTCTTGAAAATGGGAG